GATTTTTGGGGAATTCTTTTTTGGAAATTTCTTTGGTTATCTTTCTCGATCGAAAAAACGAGATTAGAGACTGATTAGAGTGTGTTCCTTGAGTAAAATTTGCATGATTTCGTTGTACTCGATTAACCGACCTTTTTTTGGCCGAGTAACTACGAGTAATCCTCTTTACACGTCGAGTAAATCGAATATCTTTACATTTGAAGGGAATTTACCAGTTAAACGGCTGAATATCTTTACATTTGAAGGAAATTTGTCACCAAATCACTTAAATAGCTGAATCTCTTTAAAAGGAGTCGTATATAAGGCGGCGGTCGGGATTTTTTGCGTCAATTCTCGCTACAGCACACAAGCACACTAATGCGTACGTTTAGTGTGCTTCTAGCGAGAATTGGAAAAAAACGTGCCCGGAAAAGCGCGTTTATCAAAGCTCAAAGCACGAATTTGAGCTGAGCTTGAATTTGAGCTGAGTTTAAGTCGAAATAAAAGAAAATAAAGGAACATTTCTAATAGAATCATTTCTAGAATCAAAATAGAATCAAAATAGAATCAATTTCAGATCAAAAACTAAGCCAATCCTGTTAAAGAACTCTTCGAAAAAGCGAGAAGAACTCAGAGAAGGCTTTCTTCGAAAAGTGAAGCCTTGAATTGGGTTTGAGTTTCGAGTTCTCCCTTGATTGCCCCTCTTTCCCTCTCACAAAGTGACCTATTTTAGCTTTTCCCCTTTCACTAACCGTTCACAAATCCCATCCACAACAAAAAGAACCCCTCTATTATCTTTATCCTTTCAAAAATGATTGATTACAGAAAAACTTTCGGATCAAAGGTCTATCAAATTTTTCTCTGAAACAGAAAAACTTTAATAAAAGCTTGCGGATATTTTGGAGGCAGGCAAAAGAATTAAAATTTGTTCAAAAGGATTAAAATTCATTCAAAAGTATTCATTTTGATTCAAATTCATTCAAAAGTATTCAAATTCATTCAAAAACCTTTTATTAACCCATCAATGGGGGTTTTTTTTTATTTTTCCGTTTTGTTTGTGCTCGAAAATCGATATCCTCACGCAGCCTAGCGAAAGGGAAACAGGGACACTTTGAACGAACCTTGAACAGGAACGCTACCTTTAGACTCACCACTAATGCGTTTTTTTGAAAACGTAAACTTGGGAGAAATAACCGTACTTTTAGTGCAACTTATTGCAAAAAAATTGATGCAAAAAGATCATCGGCGCCGCCTTATATACGTCGCCTCATAAACACCGCCTTATATACGTCGCATCATAAACACCGCCTTATATACGTCGCATCATAAACACCGCCCTATATATGTCGCCTCATAAACACCGCCTTATATACGCCGCCTTATATACACAGCCTTGTATACGTCGCCTCATAAACACCGCCTTATATACGTCGCATCATAAACACCGCCTTATATACGTCGCATCATAAACACCGCCTTATATACGTCGCCTCATAAACACCGCCTTATATACGTCGCCTCATAAACACCGCCTTATATACGTCGCATCATAAACACCGCCCTATATACGTCGCCTCATAAACACCGCCTCATATACGTCGCCTCATAAACACCGCCTTATATACCTCGCCGCAGATACACCGCAGATAATAGCTCATTTTGTAGCCAATTTGATGTAGTTTCTTAAGGTAAAGCCATCTAAAACAATTTTTCGTTGAAAGTAGAAAAAAGAGGGCGAGGAACAAATTCAGGGCAATTCTCAAATGTGAAAACAGCGACCGAGTTCAACTGAAGTCGTTCCTCGCCCTCTTTCTCCTAGCTTTGAAAAACCAAATGTTCAATGTAGCTTTACTTTAAGAAACTACATCAAATTGGCTACAAAATGAGCTATTAGGCAAGTTTTTTGGCTGAGTAGAAAATTATTTATAGGCATTTTAAGGCATTTTTTGAACCCTAAAATTTTGGGGCTTAAAAAATTTTTCTACTCAACCAAATGAGTTAATTTCAAAAATTTATTATAAAATCTATGTATTATGAACATTTTTATGTGGGTGACTTTATGGATTGGATGCCCGGAAATACCCTCATTCGTTAGCGGCTGAATTTCGTAAGCGGCTACGACATATACACCGCCTTATATATGTCGCCTCATCTACCTCACCTCATATACACCGCCTTATATACGTCGCCTCATCTACAACGCCTTATATACGCCTTATCGATGTCAAATTCAGAAATTCAGCTTAACAAAAAACTGCCAAAGGTTGAATTTTCGTTTAAAAGTTCGTAATTAAAGGAAGTTTGTGTTAAACTCGGTTTTTTTTCTTCCTCTAACAAATCAAGCGCTTGTTTTGTCTTGTTTGTAACACACATTTGTAACGTTTGTAACGTTTGTAACGCTTGTAAACAATGCGAACGCTTGTAAATCAAATGCGAACGTTTTTCTTGCATAATATGTTTTTGGAATTCAAAATCTTTCCAAAATTCGAGTCAAAATCGAAATTTCTGGAGGCCTTGCAAAGACTATTTATTGACTAATCGTTAACAAAGCGGTTCTTAGTGATGTTTTTGAATAGAACCATAACAAATGCATGAATAGAACACCAGGGTTCTGAGATCGAAGAAAAAAAGAAAAAGAAAGAAGAACAAAAAGCTAAACTGATCATAGAAATTGGATGTTAAATCAAATTTCTTTAAAAAAAAAGAATCAGTAGAATGAAGAAAAGAGAAGGCTTATTTAGCACAAGGCTGGATCAACGCCAGTGCTTGGGATCTACCCATTGTTTAGCAGAATTTAAAAAAGATACTGTAAAGTCCTAGTCTTTGATTACAGTATGCCAACTAAAGCCAGCCAACTAGAGCCAACCAAATAAAGCCAGTCAACTAAAGCCAACCAACCAAAGCCAGCCAAATAAAGCCAGCCAAATAAAGCCAGTCAACTAAAGCCAACCAACCAAAGCCAGCCAAATAAAGCCAGCCAAATCAAGCCAGCCAACCAAAGCCAGCCAAATCAGGCCAGCTAAATCAAACCAGCCTCGGTCGCTTTTGCAATTTGTTTCATTATGTAGTTCAAAGAGATTACGCAACAATACGAATTGCAAAACTGAAACTCGCCAGTCTAACTGATGACTGAATAGCTTTTTCTTTTTTCTTTAATTAAAACTATAAACCATTCAGTTCAGGCTTGCAGTTGGAAAAAGCGAAAAATTGAATATCTTTTAATTTTCAAAGAAAAATGGCTGCAAAATGGCTTGACAACGACGTCTTTTTTTTTTGCTAGTCTTGCTCTCACTTTGCTCCCATTTTTCTTCTACTAGACAACAGTTTTTCGAAAAGTTTTTTATACCATTGTGTAGCCCAAATCAAGGACTACATTTTGATACCAAACAAGCGAAGCTCCTAGTAAATGGGAATTCCATTCGGCGCAATCTTTATGGCTCCTTTTTGCGCTTAAGCTATTTTGTCGACTTTTTACTGTACTGCTTTGACTTGCTTTGACTGCTTTGACTTGCTTTGACTGCTTTGACTACTGTACTACAGTATCTTTTAAAAAATGAGCTTTACAGTATCTTTAAACTTTAAACTTTAAAGAAAACATCATCTTCTATAAACTATCATATCAAATCGAAACGAAGCACAAATCGAAACGAAATACACGAAGATTTGAACGACGGGAGAGTACAAACGACTCGTAGACCTAATCAATAGGTTTGGGGGATAGGTAGAGACAAATGGAAAGCACAGCTAACCAAGCTAGCCTTTTTTTTTAAAAAACTGATTTATCTATATAAACTTGGACTTGGTGCTGAGAGCTTTGTGCTGAAAGCTTTGTGCTTAAAGCTTTTTGCTCAGAGCTTTGTGCTCAGAGCTTTGTGCTCAGAGCTTTGTGCTCAGAGCTTTGTGCTCAGAGCTTTGTGCTGAAAGCTTTGTGCTGAAAGCTTTGTGCTCAGAGCTTTGTGCTGAAAGCTTTGTGCTCAGAGCTTTGTGCTGAAAGCTTTGTGCTCAGGCTTTGTGCTGAAGCTTTGTGCTCGGAGCTTTGTGCTGAAGCTTTGTGCTCAGAGCTTTGTGCTGAGCTTTGTGCTCCAGAGCTTTGTGCTGAAGCTTTGTGCTCAGAGCTTTGTGCTGAAAGCTTTGTGCTCAGAGCTTTGTGCTGAAAGCTTTGTGCTCAGAGCTTTGTGCTGAAAGCTTTGTGCTCAGAGCTTTGTGCTGAAAGCTTTGTGCTCAGAGCTTTGTGCTGAAAGCTTTGTGCTCAGGCTTTGGTGGCTGAAAGCTTTGTGCTCAGAGCTTTGTGCTGAGGCTTTGTGCTCAGGCTTTGTGCTGAAAGCTTTGTGCTCAGGCTTTGTGCTGAAAGCTTTGTGCTCAGAGCTTTGTGCTGAAAGCTTTGTGCTCAGAGCTTTGTGCTGAAAGCTTTGTGCTCAGAGCTTTGTGCTGAAAGCTTTGTGCTCAGAGCTTTGTGCTGAAAGCTTTGTGCTCAGAGCTTTGTGCTGAAAGCTTTGTGCTCAGAGCTTTGTGCTTAGAGCTTTGTGCTTAGAGCTTTTTACTCAGAGCTTTTTGCTCAGAGCTTTTTGCTCAGAGCTTTGTGCTTAGAGCTTTTTACTCAGAGCTTTTTGCTTAGAGCTTTGTGCAAACTACTTTCTGCTGAGAACGAAAACGCAAACTTTCTATTTCATTACAATGGCCAGCTATGCCAAAAGCGTTTCTAGACTTCCAAAAACAAGTTTAGTTCTCATTTTTCAACAATTTTTCGACAATTTTTCAACTTTAAATAGACAAATCAGTTAAATTCGACTTTCTTTTTTGACGAGATTTTCTAGAATAAAGAAACCCATATTTTTAGAGTTTTGGGGAAGAAATAATGACTTAGCGAAATTGCAGCGAAACCGTAATTTGTGTGGAGAAGAAGAAAAAAACGGGGAAAAGGGGGAAAAACGGGGAAAAGGGGGAAAAACGGGGAAAAGGGGGGACCAGTATGCAAAATGAGATTTTTGGGGGGAAATGTGTGGGGATTTTGAAGATCTCTAGAGTTCGATGAAGAATTGCAGCTGCACATCGCCGACCCATTGTGGCGCAAAGCAGTCACCGGTAGCTGCAGCAGCTCGAGCGCATGCCTCAGCCTGGAAATGGAAAGGTTAAGAAAGTTTTAGAGAAATGTTTGTTATTGTAGACGCTAGGTTCTATGATTCTTTGAAGATGATACATTGTTCAAAAAAGATGTCTCAACTGGATTCAAAGACAAGCTAGACTTGAGCCTATATGCTAAGCTCCGAAAAAGTGTTACGTATGCGACGCTACGTATGTTACACTACGCATGCTAGGCTACGTATGTGACGCTACGTATGATACCCTATGTATGCTACGCTATGTATGATATGCTATGTATGCTACGCTATGTATGCTTCGCTATGTATGATATGCTATGTATGATATGCTATGTATGCTACGCTACGTATGTTACACTACGCATGCTACACTACACATGCTTACACTACGCATGCTACACTACACATGCTAGGCTACGTATGATACGCTATTTATATTACGCTACGTACACTACTGGACAATGAAATATGATATTTGAAAAAAGATCGTCACTTTCGCGCGTCTGTAACTCCGTTGTCTTTACCGTATTTCTAAATATTAATATTATCATTGTGTAGCCCTTGAAAAGGCTTTCAGGAAATGTAGAACACTAATATTCGGGTTGATGCATAATTATCCGGACTTCTTTTGCGTGCTTGTATCTTTTGTTTTGAAAGCTTTTTGTCCTATTTCTTTTTTAAAATATTCGTTGACTTCTTTAGTGAACAAAATGCGTGGTAACAATCATATCCATCTTCGCCATATCATGCTCTACCACTTCGAAAAGGGATGGTCGGCCCGCAAGTGTTTCGCGATCTCAAAGAACTGAGAAGCCCCAACGGACTACCACGTCAATCGATCGCTCAAAATTGGCAAACAAATAAGATCTACAACGATTTGGATGCGGACTTGATAGACGTGTTAAAGCGTGGATTGCCTCCAAAGATCGTTTATTCTTCGCTCGTTGGAATCAGATCGTCTTCCAAGCACAAATGGCAATCAGTTATTGATGTAGGCGGTGAATATGCTC